TAAGCGTCTGAATGGAAAACCCCATGTCAGTACTCATTAGCTCCCTGATTTCCACCATTTTCTGGCACTTCGCACACAGAGCTTCTCTCTCGCCCGTGTGGGTTGCTCAGGTGGACACCCTTGTGGAAACACGTTTCTTGTGTGAATAAAGCCTCCAATTAAATTGTGAGCTTCAGATGCGAGTTTCCTGGTTTTCTCTCATCAGCCACCTTCCGATGCCTGCAGCCATTTTTCTGTGTTTCAGCAGGAGTGAATGTGCCTTAGAAATACCGCCTCTGCTGGGAAAAACGAGTCACCATGTGAATTTGAAGCCTGCTGCTCTTTGAGAAAGCAGCCTTGCTCCCATTTGGCAGCTAAAGGTAATGTGACGGAGTTTGGTGGCTGTTAATAGTGTGAGTGTGATGGCTTTACCAGACCAATGGCATGGGAAGACTTTTAAAGGAGCACCGTGCCTCCAACATAGCCTGAATTATCAACCTCCATCTATATGAGACCATACATCTGAGGACCTCATTCAAACTGCAAGTCCCAGGCTCAGAGTACAGTGGATAACAGACTTTGTGCCCAGGGCATAATGGACAACAGGCTTTGTGCTCTGAGTATACTGGACAGCAGACTCAGAGTATACTGGACAGCAGGCTTTGTGTTCAGACCATAATGGACTTTTGGTTTGCCTAGTGTAGTTTTGGTGTTTTGTAGTTTTGGTAGTTTTTGCGATCTGTTTGTTTGATTTTGCTCTTTTTAGGACCGTGTTTTTATTCTTGTTCCTTCTCAGCTTCAGGAACCATCCACACTTGAATCCTTCTCCAGCACATGTCAATCTGGTTCTTTCCATCCAGTCAATGGCCCTCAGTCCCCGTGGCTGCCTCTTTCCTGCTGGTATAGATGACATGGTCAGGTTTGGAAAGGTTTATGTTTTGTCTGATCTGAGTCCAGTAAAACTAGTTTGCTGGTTTAAAAAAATGTATTGGTAAGGAAGTGGTGAAGTGAAGTCGTGTGGTATTTACTCTGGATGGAAGTTGAGTCTGGTAATCCGTGAGATAAGTACTCTCCCTTCAGCGAGGCGTGTTATTAAGTCGAAAGTGTACATCTGGCAATGTAAATATCTAATAACTGAGAATATGAGCCTGACTTCCCCAGCAACGCAAACAAGTCATAAAACAGCATTCAGGCGAGAAATTATATTTTTGTAACATATGTAAAATGAAATCTCAGGTCAATACAGGTGGACTGGAATGTTACAAAATTCCTCTGATATTAAGTGCTTATTTTTTATTATGTTATTATGTTTTGTGTTGACCTGAGTATCTGCGTGACGTTTAATCTTGCTTCCTAAAATTGGTGTGTGGAAATCTGCTCAGCCCCTCAAACCTAACACACAATCTTCTTAAAGACTAGGTAATTAAAAGAAATTAATTACACTGAGTGTGTATGTAAGGCCTGAAGACCCTCTCTAAGCACTGACACCTCTGCACCAGTGGGTTTTCACCTAGGCCTGACCCAGACAATTCCTCTGTTCCAGAACAACCCCTTCAAGAACCAGAAGTTGCCCATTCCAGAAGCCCTTCACTGTGACACCCACTGATCAGACTCAGTTTTTCCCACCACTCACTCTGGACCATGTGGAAATGTTCATGTCCACCACCAGATGGCGTGGAAATTAAGGATTAGGATTTGTGATTATGTTGTCTAGTTCCTTTTCATAGGGTGACTGATAGTAACAACATCCACCTTGCCACTGACGGAGGTAAGATGAAATGCAAGAATCAACACTGACCTTTTCCCCTCCATTTTACAGACATACACATTCATCACTCCAGGCAGCTACAACATCACCTCCAATTTCCAATTTAAGCTCCTTCCCAAAGGTAATGATATTGAAAGTCTTAATAGTGTATTTTTGAGTAACGTGCAGCTGCAGGGACTGGCAGTAACCAGGGCTGAACAGTTGGAAATGGAAGACGGATGAGCTATTTTGTTATGGCGACTCTGGAGTTACTACATATATTGGTGTGTGAGCCCACTCAACAGTGAAAAGGGGTCTGCCAGCATCAGTCCACTGCAGGAACAGTGAAAAGGGGTCTGCCAGCATCAGTCCACTGCAGGACCCACAGTGAGGGTGTTCATGGCCACTGCAGTAGTGGAATGGAAACTGTAACAGACTCCAACAGGTGAACCATGCAGAGTGTGGCTCAGTGGGTTAGGGCAGTGTTTCCCAGCCCAATCCTCGGGGAACCACAGACAGTCCACGTTTTTGCTTCCCCTCACCTCCCAGACGCACCTGTACCAGGTATTCGGTGTTCCTGATTGGCTGGGAGCAAAAATGTGGACTGTCCGGGGTTCCCCAAGGACTGGGTTGGGAAACACTGAGTTAGGGCACCATACCTATGATCGGAAGGTGCCCAGTTCAAATCCCATGGTCGGCAGTGTGATGTCACTTTTGGGTCCGTGAGAAAGGCCCTTAACTCCCATTTGCTCCAGGCACTGGCTAACCCTGCTTTCCTGCCCAACAATGTATGTTGCTTGAGATAAAGGCTTCTGCTAAATAAATAAAATACATTTATTTACACTTCTGTGGAACTGGGTGTCTCTCCTGAGGGTCAGCCGATGTCATGGCAGTGTGATGGTTTAATTAGGCCGGAGAGCCTGTGAGTGTGTGAAGCAGCCCAGTGGCTGATGAAGACAAATGAGAGTTAGGCTCAGGGTTATGCATCATAACGAAATTCAGTTCTACATTTTCCAAGATGTATATAAGCACATTTCCTAGGGACCTGCTTACAAATGTGAACATCAAGAACTGCAACTTGCAAGTGTCTGTATGGTGTGTGGCTCAGTGGATTGGGATGCTGTGTCTGTAATTGGAAGGTTGTTGGCTCAAATCCCTGAGTTGGCAGAGTGATGTTACTGTTGGATGCCTAAGAAACACCCACAGGGCATCTCTGACCCTGTAAAAATGTGTCACTTTGGATACAAGCCTCTGCTAAATAAATGAAATGCAACTCGCTCTGGGATAAACACCCAGAGGCTTGGGTGTGATGAAATAGACATGCTGGGGGTGTGTTGAGTGTGAGCCTGGGAATGTCACCCCAGACATTACGGTTAGTAAATTGTGTTGACTGGAGGTGGGATCCCAGTGTATGATATTTGTTTCCAGATCAGCCTGGGGGGGACACCACACAGTTTGAGAGCCTCTGAGAAAGCTATAGCATTAACATAAAATTATTGCATTCCCTGACCTTTGTTACTAGACTACAACCAGGACAGTCCACCGGGAATTGTCTTGAGTCTGCTCTGGCATTGACCAAATCATAAATCACGGACCAATGGTGAGTAGGCGCCAGGCGACGGGTAACGAGGATGCAAATGAAAGCAAGCCAGCTGAGCGAGGCCATCTCTGTAACCTGCCACTTTCACGCGTGTCAGTGTTACCTTTTGAACGGCAAATGTACTGGTCAGATTGGGTTTTTGTCATTGTATACATCATGATTCACTCTGTGCTAACTTCCGCTAGTACATCTGTGATAATCGCCAAATTATGTAAGCATCAAACTCTAGCAGAATTAGTGTTAGCTTGTGTAAATTAGCATTACGAATCCATTCCATTCAGCCATTCTATAGTGCTTTTTATATAAATTATTCCAGAGTGGTTTGAGGAACATAAAGAGCTCAAGGTGTTGACTCGGCCTCAAAATCCCCCAGATCTCAATCCAAATGAACATCGGTGGGATGTGCTGGAAAAACAGGTCCAATCCATGGAGGCCCCACCTGACAACTCAGAGGACTTAAAGGATCTGCTGCTAACATCTTGGTGCCAGATACCACAGGACACCTTCAGAGGTCTTGTGGAGTCCATGCCTCAGTGGGTCAGGGCTGTTTTGGTGGCACGAGGGAGACCTACACAATATTAGGCAGGTGGTTTTAATTTTATGACTGATTGGCGTAAAAAACATAGCCGTTGGCAGCAGATACATTGTAAGTTGTACCCCTTGATTAACTGGTAGTCTGATAAATATAATTCAGAGCTACTTCCTGTCCACTGACATCACATCCTTCACACCCTTTTTTTCTTCTTTACAGTTAAATGTTTTTTTGAGGCATTTTACAGTTTTTCTTGCCAGTTTTTAAGGTTAACACTTGTATCTGGGTACTATAGTACATCCCTATGTAAATTTTCTTTACTGGGTACTGTGCTGTTTGCTGTCAGACAGTTTTAGAAACATGAATCACTTGTCAGTGGATTCCTGTAGTGTTTGAGATTCATCTTGTCCAGACATACAAACACAGAAGTGTCATGTAGATGGAGGTAAAGAGAGGAAAATAATGAGCTGTAACAGACTCCAACAGGTGAACCACAGGTGTTTCAGTGGGTTAGGACAGTGTTTCCCAGCCCAATCCTCGGGAACCCTGGACAGTCCACGTTCTTGCTGTAAAATTACAGCTGTTTCACAACAAGCAAAAAAAGGGAAATAGTGATGCAAGTAAAATTACAGCCGCTTCGCAATAAGCAAAAAAGGGAAACAGTGATGAAGATAAAAGTACAGCTGTTTCACAACAAGCAAAAAAGAGGAAGGTAAAGTCACACTTTTCTTTTTAGTAAAGTTAAAATTGTGACCTATGTCCATCCGTCTGTTTTCCACAAATTACTACCCAGTAATTCCCAGTCACAGAAAGCCTGCAGCTTATACTAGGAATGAAAGAGTATTAGACAGGAGGCATCCCGAATGGGATGTCAGTCTGTGTCAGGACACACACACAATCCTAATATAGTATGATAAGTATAATAACCCACAACACAGCAAAGATAGGGTGTTGGTTTCCTTTCTAAAACCACTTAAATGGTGCTTCTGCAAACTGTGAGAAGACAGTAAGTGAGAAGGAGCTCAGAGCAGCAGAGATGGGAGGTGGAGACCCTCTGAACTTCTGGGGACTGATTCTGGTCGTCTTACCTGGTAAGAACATCAGTCATTCAGTACTTGGTAACATTTTTTTAAAAATCTATTGCGCTGCTAAAGTTACCCACAATATAATTACAATTTAATTCCAGTAGGGAGTTCCTGAGTCTTTTAATGGCTAGTTTGAGGGACTCTTATTTGAAGTGGAATCACACAGAGGGATAAAGACAGATGGTGCAAGTATGTTATATACAGTAAAACCTCGGATTGTGAGCATAATTCGTTCCGGAAACGTGTTTGCAATCCAAAGCACTCATACACTCACCTAAAGGATTATTAGGAACACCATACTAATACGGTGTTTGACCCCCTTTCGCCTTCAGAACTGCCTTAATTCTACGTG